CGTTTGAATCAATTATCCTACCTATCTTTGTGTCATCGGGGGAATTTGCTCATATCACTAGTAATTCCCTCATCAAGATCATTGATATATATTATAAACAACAACGGGCCCAAGACTGATCCTGTGGAACGCCACTTGTTACAGATCCCCACTCGGATTTAACCCCATTTATGGACACTCTCTGCTTCCTGTCAGTGAGCCATGACTCGATCCACGAGAGCACTTTTCCCCAATGCCATGGGCTGCCACTTTCTTTAACAGTCTATGGTGCGGAACTCTATCAAAAGCCTTACTAAAATCTAAGTAAATAATATCAAATTCTTTTGTGGTCAACAGCCTCAAAAGCTTTACTGAAGAAAGTTAATAAATTAGTTAGACAAGACCGGCCTCTTGTGAATCCATGCTGAGTATCATTAATCAAGCTATGCTTATCGAGATGGCTTCTTATAATCTCAGCTATAATTGACTCTAGTAATTTGCCTACAATTGAGGTCAGGCTTAATGGGCGGTAATTTGACGGTAACGACTTGTCCCTGTTTTAAAAATAGGAGTTACATTAGCCATCTTCCACATATCAGACACTACACCTGTTTGAAGAGATAAATTAAAAATATTAGTTAATGGTTCACAGAGTTCCATTTTGCATTCCTTAAGAACCCTTGAAAAAACCTCATCAGGACCCGGCGACTTATTTTGCTTCAGTCTGTCTATCTGCCTCACAACCATCTCACTAGTGACTGTGATGTTACATAATTTATCTTCTTCTAGCCCACTGTAAAAATTAATTACTGGAATATTGTTAGTGTCTTCCTGTGTAAAAACTGAGAGAAAATAATTATTTAAAATCAAGCACATTTCATTCTCATTGTCAGTAAGGTGCCCATAGTTATTTTTAAGGGGACCTATCTTATCTCTAACTTTTGTTCTATAGACCTGGAAAAAACTTTTTGGGTTAGTTTTAGAATCCCTAGCAACTTTAATTTCATAGTCCCTTTTAGCTTTTCTTATCCCCTTTTTAATGTCCCTCTTAATGTCAATATACTGATTCATAAGATGACCCTCACCTCTTTGATACGCCTATAAATTCCTTTCTTATGCCTAGTAGATATTTGAGCCTATTATTCATCCATTTTGGGTCATTTCTATTTGATCTAATTTCTTTATATGGATAAACGCTCTTTGAGCAGCATGTATAGTGTTCAGAAAACTGTCATATTGATAGCTCTCTTCGTTACCCCAGTCAACAGATGTAAGTGTTCTTTAAGCCCATCGTAATCTGCTAAGCGAAAATCTGGGACTGTTACTGAGTTATCGCTACTATCGTACTTCCATTCAATGCTAAATGTAATTGATTTGTGGTCGCTAGCACCCAGTTCCTCTGAAATTTCTAAATTATTAACAAGGGATTCATTGTTTGCCATAACTAAGTCAAGCAGGTTATTTCCCCTTGTAGGTTCTGTCACAAACTGCTTCAAAAAACAATCCTGAAATACTTCTAAGAAGTCGTACGATTCTAAATTCCCAGTCAAGAAATTCCAATCAACATGACTAAAGTTAAAGTCTCCTAGAATTGATACATGTTTGATACATGATACATGATACATGTTTGTACAAAGGAGTGTGACAATTGGGTGTACAACCCAAAATTTGGTCATCTCAAAAATCTCGGATATTATCCTAACTCCACAAGACTTTGAAAAGGCAATAAATGACATGGCTATGCACTCTGCCCCAGGCCCAGACTCATTGAACTCTGTGTTCATCAAGACTTGCAAGAAGCCCCTATTGCATGCCTTCAGCATTCTATGGAGAGGGAGCATGGACACGGGTCATGCCACACACACTAAAAACAACAGACATAGCCCCACTCCACAAAGATGGCAGTAAAGCAGTTACTAAGAACTACAGACCAATAGCGCTAACATCCCATATAATAATCTTCGAGAGGGTTCTAAGAAGCAAGATCACCAACCACCTAGATACCCATCAGTTACACAACCCAGGGCAAAACAGGTTTAGAGCAGGTTGCTCCTGCCTGTCCCAGCTACTGGACCATTATGACAAGGTCCTGGATGCTGTTGAAGATAAATAAAATGCAGATGTAGTATACACGGACTTTGCAAAAGCTTGCAACAAGTGTAACCATGGTATAATAGCACACAAAATGTGTGATAAAGGAATAACAGGGAAAGTTGGTAGATGGATCTATAACTTCCTTACAAATAGAACACAAAGAGTAATAGTAAACAAAGTAAAGTCCCAGGCAGCCATGGTGAAAAGCTCTGTTCCACAAGGCACAGAACTTGCTCCTGTTCTATTCTATATCCTCATTTTGGACATAGAGATGTAAGCCATAGCTCGATGTCTTCCTTTGTGGATGACACCCGGATTGCCATGGCAGTGACCTCCATTGAAGACACCGCAAGACTCCAAGCAGACATCAACCAAATCTTCAAATGGGCCACAACAATGTATCTACCTCATATAGCCTTTAACGACTCCTGCTGCTTTAGTGTCATATATATTGTAGAATCACTGAATCACTGAAGAAAGTACATTGTCCCCTCTCTCTTCCTCCTCCACTTTCGTACTTTGCTGCAATTTCTTTCTTCGATTCTATCATGTTTCTGTTTTTTTCTACCAAAGGGCTGGCACTAGAAAGTTTCTCTGGGCCCATGGTTAATTATGCAGCAGTTGCAGCTCAATCAGCAAGCACAAAAAACAATGGATTATTGTGAAATCTTTGGATGAAAGCCAGACTGACCCACAACGCATGTGTGGGATACTTTGTGTGGGCGCGGGCAGGTGGACAGGTCTGGTACGGCGGCCAAAACTCAAGGTACCATTTGAAACTCGGGACAAAATTTAGCCGAAAAGTGACCAAAACTCAAAACAGCCGAAACTTGGGGCGGTTGAAGCTCGAGGTTCCAGTGTTCTCAGATGTGGAAAACTTGAGGAAATTAAAAATGTATCGGGGTATACAACAAATTCTAACTGTACAGTAGAGCAAAAAAGAAATGTGAAGGACCTGGGAGTGATAATGTCAGAGGATCTCGCCTTCAAAGACCACAACAATGTATCTACCTCATCTGCTAGGAAAATGATAGGATAGATAATGAGAACCTTCAAAACTAGGGACACCAAGCCTATGATGATCCTCTTCAAATCGCTTGTTCTCCCTAGGCTGGAATACTGCTGTACACTAACAGCCCCCTTCAAGGCTGGAGACATTGTAGACCTGGAGAGCGTACAAAGAACTTTCACTGCACACACAAGTACGATAAGGCACCTAAATTACTGGGAATGGTTGAAGGTCCTTGATTTGTATTCCCTGGAATGCGGGCGAGAGAGATACATGATAATATACACTTGGAAGGTCCTGGAGGGATTGGTACCAAACCTGCACATGAAAATCACTACCTATGAAAGCAAAAGACTCTGCAGGAGATGCAACATTCCCCAGATGAAAAGCAGGGCCGCCACGAGTACAATGAGAGAACACAATCAGTGTCCGGGGCCCAAGACTTCAACTGCCTTCCAGCATACATAAGGGGATTACCAATAGACCCCTGGCTGTCTTCAAGAAGGCACTGGACAGGCACCTTAAGTTAGTACCTTGACCAGCAGGGCTGTGGTTCGTACGTCAGTTTGCGTGCGGCCAGCAGTAACAGCCTGGTTGATGAGACCCTGATCCACCATGAGGCCTGGTCTCAAACCGAACTGTGGGGGCATTGACTCCTGAAACCCTCTCCAGGGAAATTCCTGGTAAATGATCATATTAGGTGTCTGGCAAATCATCCCTCATCCTTCCAGGGTTAATGATTCCAAGATACACCCATCTTGCTTCCACCTTCAGTCAGCAGCTGTTTCATCTATTGTGAATACAAGTGGTATAATTTCAGGCAGAAAACTATTTTTACATTAACTGAAGAAGTATTTGTCTGTTAGGGGACCTGGGAGGCCAAGAGTTTCCTCAGCCACAGCTCCATGTTTGGGCTGACAACTGGATTCTGACACATTCTTAAAGCCTCAGGCAACATTGATGATGAGTAAACAACACTTAGTAGACATAGGTGAGAATGGTCACTAATGAGCACAAAGCAAACAGGAATTTTGCTGGGATCCAGTGAGGTATGTATCAGTGTAAATGAGGTGGGTCCACTAGTAAAGAAATATATCTTCTGCTAGAATCGAAATGCATTTTTATAATACTGTTTTGCTTAGCTGATTTTGATGCTTCTGATGCTTTAATGTCTTATGTTTAACTTATAGAGGATTTATTACATTACTACAAGGTAAACCAGTTATCTGTAAATGTGTGATGCTGAATTTATTTGCAAAATATTCATAATTTCATGTTTAAATAACTTTTAGGGATTTTTCCTTTGTAGATAAGTTTAAAATGCATAAAAAATTGAATCCTGGAATCATAATCAGTTTCTTCTGAAATAATAAAGATCTTGCATTTGTCTTGTTAAATGTTTTTTGACTTAGTCACCTGTTTCTGCAAACTTGTCAAGATAATAAGTAATGTAGTGGCAGAATGTGTGACTCAGTAGTCATACATGTGTACAGCAGCTGATGTTATGGGTGACTGGGATACAACCATAAGTATTGATACTTCTCATACATCTACTGCTTCTCTAGATCTAAGCTATGTTTTAACCATATTCTTTTTAAGTTTTGCCTTGTATACTAAGTTTGAGAAAATAATGTAATGTATTCTTATCTAATTTTTCTGTATCTAACTTTCTGAGTGGCAAAGTTTATTTTTATCACTTGCCATTACTGACGCTTTATATATTTCTTGGTTTAATTCTATCTTCCAGACTGTGTGTATATTCATAAGCTAAGGTAATGTATTATCAAGAGAGAATATACCACACTTTTAACAGTTTAGAATGAAAAGTGAATGTACAGAGTCAGAGTAAACTCTTAGCTTTTCATGTTGTGATCTCAGTCACTTCACTTTATGGAGCTGGCAGTTTTTACTTTACTAGGGGGGGCTGTAGAAAACGATCAGCCAGGACGTGTTCAGAGTGCCCCTGTTGAGCGAGAGAAGTTTACCTTTAGCCGCAACCTGAACTTTGAAAGTTTGAACATTTTTGAGGGTAAGGGGGTTGTGTTAAGAAGATCCACTGTGTTAGATCTGCTCACTTGCTTGTGATTCAATTTTATGTTTGTTGAAATGAAATAAAAAGAAAGATTATAACAAACACAAATATATTAAAGCACAGCATTATTTTTGTAGACATCTTTAGATTATATGTAACAAACAGTATTTTATACTGCAGCATTCACTTATTGTAATATATTACATCATAATTATATTAATAAACCTAAATTATATCTTAAATCATTGGATCACAAGCAGACAATTATTTGGCATGTATCTCACTTTCACTTGAGTATTTTGATCTGTTTTGTATATTCTTGTGCACTAGTGTTATTCTTGTTGCTGGATGGATGCTGCGGGTCACTCACAAATAGCAACCTCTCATTCATCCACACCAAGTAGTAGTAATGTCAAGCCTTAAGGGACATTGATGTATAGTAAACTCTGTAAAAATCAGTGAAGAAAAAATCCCAATTTGAGGATTACCCCCCTAAAAAAAAAAAAAGTATATTTTTCTGAGACCAGCATCTAAACCAATTTGATCTCTCATTGTTCATCATTTTTACTCACCATTTTTTGAATTACATAATTTCATATTTTTCTTTTTTTTATTTATTTACTTTCATTAACTTTTTTGTTTGATATAAATATGTAGTAATGTAATGAAGGAAAATTAGAATTTATTAAAAATGAATAGAAGAGATGTACATAATTGAGCAACAAGCATACTTGCCAATTTTGAAAAACTGGGATTTTAATTCAAAAAAGGTTATAAACCAGTTTTGTCTTGATTCCGAGGGTGTGGTTTTTATAGAGGTTACTGTATTATGCCAGTAAAGATGTAGGCCAAGGTGCACAATCTTACTACATTAATAATGGGCAGCCAAAAAAATATTTAGTAGCACTGTACTCATGTTTACATTAAGGCAAGCTTGGTAATCTCAGTGTTGTTACCATATGTTGTTTTGGTGACTTGCTTTTTCTTGCAAATGCTGTCATGTCTCAGCACATACACATATATATCATAACTATCTTTTTTCTGTAGATTCTTGTCTCTTCCAACACACTGCCAGATGCTCTAATTTTTAGAACACGTGTGACTTGACCATGGCTTGCTCCAAACCTCTTTTCACCTGACCTGGCTTCTGGCTCTCTATCCTTTTCTCTAGCCCTTGCAATTTAATAATGGTCCATGATAGATTAAAACCTTGTTAAGGTTTATGGGTTAGTTGTGAATCAGGTTACATGGTACAAACCTTCGTAACTGATACAAACAAATTCATTTAACCCTTTGACTGTCGCAGGCTCCTTTCTGAAACTGTCATTTTATGTCACAAAATATTCGAAAAAAAAAAATATTTTTTCTTACGAAAATGTTAGGATTATTTTACTGAGTGTTTTAAGCCTAAAAAAAAAATTTGCCATCAGTACTTACCGAGATACAGAGGCGCAAAGTTGGCAGAAAATGAGCGGTGTATAGTAACAGCGGTGAATGCCGCCCACCCGGTATTCTTTTATTTACTCCAATTTTAAGGTTTCTTGTATTTTCCAGTATTTTTCTTTTCTAAGCAACTTATGTTGCCTGTGAGACCAAAGTAAGGTGCATTGTTCAAATATACACTCATTGTTTACAACACAATAACTAAACAAACATTATTAGTTTGTGTATAAAACTTTTTTACACAAACAAACAATACAAAACATTGTTTATTACTATTGTTCCATAATATATATACATATGTACAGCCCTGAACACTTTCCTAGAACTGCTGCAGCTTGTGGAACTCTTTGAAACATGGGTATATGCAGAGTGGCACTTGACACTTCTCACACATAAAATGAGTGTGTCTGCGTGTTTGTGGGTGTTTTGTGGTATGTCCACATACAAAACACCTCTTCTGAGCACTTTTCTTGAAAGCAGGAGGAGGCAGTTGTATGGGGTAGTAATCACCAGGTCTCAAACGAGATGGCATGTGTTGGTAATTTCATGGGCATTGGTCTATTGCAGGTGTTGCTCCTTGGTACTTGGCAATTATTTGTCTGATGACTGACAAACAAAATTCACCATATTTTGGTTTGTTGTTGCTCCTTAACTTGTATATGTTATAAGCATTTAGCATGGAAATATCAACAAGGTGGAAAAAAAGTTTTATATACCACTTATAACTCTTGCATACACAATCAGCAAACCCAATCTGCATGTCACATTTGTCCATTAAGTGCATATTGAGGTGGTAGTCCATGACAGCTGCAGGTTTTAGAATGGGTTCATGGTCTCTCTATTGTGCCAGCCAGTGTGTGCCATTTCGTTTCGGTGAACTGATGTCAACAATGTGACATCACATTTGTCATACCACCAAAATGCCATGATATCATTGGCAGCAAAGGCTTGCACCTCACCTCTGCGAGTGCCAGCGTCGAACCTTGGCATATGTTTATGATTACCACGCACTGTGCCATACACATCTGTCAGGTTCACTCGCAAGAAATCGCTGAGTATGGGGCTTGTGTACCAGTTATCAGTAAATAATATATGCCCCTTACCAAGATATGGTTCCGTCATTGTTCGAACCACATCACCAGAGATACCCAATAACTTCCTGGTATCTCTGTGTATTACTGCCAGTGTACACAATGATATCCAAAACGAGACCACTTTTGCAATCACACAGTACAAATAGCTTTATACCAATGTGTTTCCTCTTGCTTGGTATGTACTGCTTGAATGAGTCTTCTCTTGAATAAAATCAAAGAGTCGTCAATAACAAGCTTCCTGAAGGGATAAAAATACATGCAACACTTTTGTTTCAGGTACATAAACACATTTCTGATCTTATATAACCTGTCGCTTCTGTCAGGCCTTGTTATGTCTGAAAAGTGTAACATACGTAAAAGTATCAAGAAATGATTCACACCTATGTCACTAAAACCTGGGGTTGAAATCAGGCGTTCTGTTGCCCAGTATGTGTTGACTGTGTGCTTATACACATGTGACATAAGCATTATTGTGGCAAAAAAAGGTACATCTCTGCCACAGTTGTGTCCTTCCACTGGTGTAGCCGTGATCTTGGTGAGAGAATTGTATTTGCCATGGTGTACTCATAGTATGTGTTGGTTTCCCTGACAATAATGTCCATCAGGGGTTCATCGAAGAATAACAAAGCATTCCAGTTCAGTAGCATTGTTCCCAAGTGTACACAATGGCCGTATTCCACTTTGTGTTTCATCAAAGTCATGGGGACTGGGAACAAACTTGTCACCTTGCTGCCAATCCCAGAGGCGGTCTGCTGGTGGGTTCTCGATATTGAAATGTGGTTGTGTAGGTTGTGGGAGTGTGGGGTTGGGTGAGGCTGGTTGTGCAGAGTCAGCAGCGTGGGTAGTAGGGTGGCCCGCTGTCGGTGCCACATGACTCGTGCCACCATCACTATCACCACCGCCACCTGCTGCCTCGCATCATTCATGCCCATCATAACAATATCGTCATCTTCACTATCAGGTCATGGTGTACGGCCACAGGATGTGCTCCAAGATTTACTCCTTCCCCTTGGAACAGCATATGAAGCACTACCAGACCGCATGCTACGTGGTAATTGACTTTAGACACCACATGAATATTTTATTATCCACTGGCGATGGTGAAAAACCAGGAAACTTTGCAAGACTTTTTCATTTGCCAAAATCTGCTGTGTATACTAATTGACTGAAAAAATGAAAAAAATACAGAAAGTGCTGGGCATACAAATCCTGTCCCTGAAACTAAAATTACTTGAACTTTGCTTGTAGTAAGCTGTTGTAGATCATGTATAGGAATCTCAGTGTTTGGATTGAGCATCAGACTCGGCAACACATGCACACACCTTAACATGTTGGTTAAGGTTAGGAGATAGTGTTACTGAGGGTTTAAAACCATAGGAAAGTGAGGGTGCAGAAGATACAAACTTTGGTGCTATTAAGGGATGGTTTGACATGTTTAAGCGACAGCCAACAAACTTAAACTTTTTAATAAGACCTTTTTTTTACTGTTTGCAAATAGTTAAAAATGTTTAGTTGAATATAAAGATAATAATGCAGACATTGAAAGACAAGGTAAGGGAAATTGCTTAACCCTTTGACTGTTTCAGTCGTATATATACATCTTACGAGCCACCGTGTTTGACGTATATATACTCGTAAATTCTAGCGGCTTCAAATTAAGCAGGAGAAAGCTGGTAGGCCCACATGAGAGAGAATGGGTCTGTATGGTCAGTGTACACCATATAAAAAAAATCCTGGAGCATGCAGTGCATAATGAGGAAAAAAAAACTCTGACCGTTTTGTTTAATTAAAATGTCGACTTTGTGTTCTATTTTTGTATAGTATTTATGGTTGTATTCTCGTTTTCTTGGTCTCATTTGATAGAATGGAAAACATATTATAGAAATAGAGGTGATTTTGATTGGTTTTACTATAAAAAGAACCTGGAAATGGAGCTCGAAGTAGTGGAAATATTTGATTTTTGCCAATGTTCAGAAGTAAACAAATGATGTCATTGTCCAATAAATGTTCAAGTAGCCATTCTAATATACAGTCATGAATGGGTTGACATTATTTGTACAATTATTACAGTATTACAGTAGTCTGCATAACAGTAAATCTTCTATTTTTTGTTTGAATAAAAATTCAAAATAGAAAACAAGAGTAATATCAGAGGGGCCTGGAGACATGACTGATGAACAAAGAAAATGTTTTAGAACCAAGAATGTCTGCATTGTTCATTCTGGACCTTATTTTGAAATTGTCATATTCTTCAATTTTCGTGAAATTGGCCAAATTGCAAATTTCTGACCATGCTATTGGGTAGTTGAAATCGGTAAATGGGCAGTTTCTTGCACTCAGTCGATAGAAAAAATGGAGTTCTAAAGAAATAGCTATGAGTTTGGTCGACTGGATCATTGGAGTTAGCCGAAAATAGGGCTCAAAGTGGGCAAAATCGCCGAGGTTGCTAACTTCGCGAGA